TCACGGCTCAACTTGCTGGTTGTGTATAGGGCAGTCTGGTTAACAGTTTATTGTGAAATTTGACCGGTGGTCTGTAATTTGTTACTAAACTGTTCCGCCTATTCTTGCTATTTGTGGTTCAAGCACGTTTCATCTGATGAAACAAGCTTTGCTTTAAACAAAAGTCTAGTACGAACACGATGAAAAATTTTCTGTTGGCTTTTAGCATTAAAAACCGAAATCTGTAACACTTTGTGGGCCAGGTTTACTTTTTTCAGTATAACTTTCTCCTAGACAAGTATATACTCCTTAGCATCGGTGGAAGTGGGGGGATCGCGGGAAGGAAAAGAAGAGTATTACACGAAAAGAGAAAGACGGAGGAGCCCCTCTTTCTTGGTCTTTTCAAGACTGGTGGTTGATGGGGGGAGGCGGTAAGTGGGACGGACCAGTGGATGTATGTGACCGGGTCACGGGCCCCGAGAAGACCCGGATACATAAGACCCGGCCGACTCCTTGCCGTCGGTGAAATTACACCAACGCCCTGTATTTACGAATTGCTACATTTTCAGTAAACAACCTTTTTTTTCTCGCTTGACTGCCGACCCGTTTTTATTAAATTAGTGACTTAGTAACTTTGACTACTTTGTTACATTTAAACTCTTAATTGTTAATTTTTCATGATTTTCTTCTTTTTCATAAAATATTTTGCTAAATATTAGTTATTTTTTCATAATATTTATATTTAAAATATTCTTTATTTTCATTAAATATTTATTTATTATATTTTATTAAATATATATATAGTTGATGTATGAAATAGACTTAACAACTTCTCAGAGTTTTTAAAGTCCACTTTTTGTAAAATAGACATCTAATATCAGGACGCTAAAAAAAATCTTCCCCTCTCATTATTTTATTCAAATTGTCGATACTTTTTATCACTGAAAATAACACATCGGCAACAAATTAATCGTAGGCGAAAAATGCAAATTAAACAATTGTCCCACTTACTTGATTTCAAACTACCGGAAAACGTGCTAGGGAAACCATCCGAAACGAGACTAACTCGACTAATTATGCTAAGTTGAAAATCGTCGAAAATCGTTTAACCCACTTCTCAGCGTACAACTTTATGGCAGGTTTGTAGAACGCTAAGAAATAATACAAGAAGTAAAAAAGAAAAAAGAAAGGTGGACGTTTAAAGTATGGATAAAGGAATAGATAAAAAATATAGGTAGATAAAAATAAATAGAGACGAAAAACAGGAAAAAGAGACAGATTTATATAGGAGAGGAGAAGAGAGGAGAGAGAGAGAGAGAGAGAGAGAGAGAGAGAGAGAGAGAGAGAGAGAGAGAGNAAAAGGTGAGGGGGGCAGAGTGAGAGAGAAAGAAAGAGAGGGAGGGAGAGAAAGAGGGAGAGAGAGAGAGAGAGAGTAGAGAGAGTGAGAGAGAGTGAGAGAGAGAGAGAGAGAGAGAGTGAGAGAGAGAGAGATTGAATAGAGAGGGTGAGAGGTAAACAGAAATGGATCTTTACTTTATTAAAAAATTATTACATTTTTTTATTCTTTAAGCAATTTTAATTTATCAAGACGTTGATCAAATTATTTGCCGTGCAAGATGAGACAAACAAAATAGGGATTTATATATAGTTTTAAAATTTTATGCGAAATTTACTCTCCAAATCATCAGTTTATTATTTATTTAGGCAGCCGGCAAGATTTGTTGGCAGGATTGGAAGGTTAGGAACTATCGCTGTCTTGCCGTATTGGTCCGCTTTGTCTCGCTGGTTTAATCTATCTGTCAGTGTTCAAAGAGTAAAACTAAATATCAGAGTAAATTACGTTTAAGTATTAAAGTTTAACTCTTTTTTTTAACATTAATAGATAAATATACGAATTTTGGCTTATTGTATCTATTGATTTTTAAATTGAAGGAAATTCATGTTATTTAATGTTTTCATTAGACCAATTTATTTGACCTTCATTGGGCCATTTGTGAAAAAATTGCATTTGCTAGACACTTTTTCTCTTGTATATCAATTATACTTGACACTGACCTACATGCAGGTTTTTTCGAAAAAAAAAATCCTTTGAACACCGGTTTATTATTACTAATTACTTGCTGGGAGGTTGGTAGTTCTTAGTCATCTCTGCCTGCAAGGGTAGGTTCATCTCATACACATGACGAGAAAAAGACAAAACTTCAAAATTATTATTTGTTTAAGAAGTTAACCTTATTAAATGTTCACCTTACCCCATCGAAATTGATTTTAAATGCACTTTTTTTTTTAAGCTAAGTCCTTTTGAAGCAATGACGTATTATGCAATTTTGGGCATACGGAATTAATTTATATAAATAAGTAACAAGAAGTATTACTTTTTGGTAAAAATTTTTAAAAGCTGTATTATTTTGTTTAATATTTATAGGTTACTACGATTTTAAGGAAATACTGTTTTTTTTAAATTAAAAATTGGCCTTAACAAACTCATTTTTATTGGTTATAATTACGTTATAATACGTTTTATACGGAAAAACATTTTATTTGTGAACTAAGCCCAGACGGAACTTTGCTGTACCAATTGGTGTAAAAAGAGGGAATACTCCGAACTTTTGGAAAAAATGCTGGTGTTCCCCAAGGAAGTGGATAGGATCAATTCTGTATTTGCTTCATAGAAGTGACATGTAACCAACAGAAAACACGTGAGAGAGTGAGTGAGTGAGTGAGAGAGAGAGAGAGAAAGAGAGAGAGTGAATAGAGAGGTTGAGAGAGAGAGTTAATAGAGAGGTTGAGAGAGAGAGTTAATAGAGTGGGTGAGAGAGAGAGTGAATAGAGAGGGTGAGAGAGAAAGAGAGAGAGGGAGAGAGAGAGAGAGAGAGAGAAAGAGAGAGAAAGAAGAAACTGGTTCTTTAATAGAGACAAGTGTGCTTTTGGGAAGAGATTCCCGTTTGACAATCCCGAACAAAATCTTTATTTTATAACCAGATCCTTAAAACTTTCTATGGCATAAAATTTTTGTCTTTGCCAAAAAGAGAGAAAACAAATCATACCAAAGTATTAAGTTACATTTGATTGGTAGGTACGGAATAAGATATTCATCGGTACCTGATAATACCCAGACATATTTACCGATGTGAAATGCTCAAAAGGATGATCTTCGCCTTCTGGTACATCCAGATGTCGAACCGAGCCAGCTATAAGAACAACCTTGTATATGACCCAACATACTTCTTAGACTTGAGTTTGAACTGAAATAAACTGATAAAGACACCAGTGGGTGAAACCTAAATTTAACTAGTTCTGTGTATACTTCAGTAAAAATATAATCAATATAAAATTAATGGTTGGACAGGTAGGTCAGTTTTAGTAATTATATTCGAATTCGAACGTCTTTGAAAGTTTGACTAATTAGGATCTTTTGCCTTTGGACCATTGAAACATATTATCACAACACTCGAAAATCATTCTAAAATCTTTACTGTTCGAATCTCTGTTTGACCATATTTTTAAACTGATATTCAACTTTGGTGTTGACTAGAAATATAGGGCAGTCTGTTTAGAAAATTTATTTTTGTTCTATTAAAAAAAAAAAAAATTGATCTTGAAAAAATGCTCAACCTTGATGTGAAGATTTTAGCCCGTTATTTATGACGGGCAATGAACATCAACTATTAGACTTAAATGACCAGAGGTTTTTTTTGTCGTCTAGAGTTTCTATACAATTTGCGGCCTGCCGCAACCAGTCGTGAAAGTGATGGTCCGAATATCTGTTTTGAAGAGAGCCCTGCAATGTTATATTTAATACAGATTTAACGATTATGAATCTGATTTGTTTTGAGGTCATGTACATATAAGCGTTCAAAAGCCGTGGACAAGGTATTTTGTCTCAATTTGAATCTTTACACCCAATAATTTGAAATATTCCTTTATATAATTTGTTATCAATAGTGCCAATAATAAAAAAATGTTAAACATTATTATAGTAATAACGTGAAAGAACTTGATTAATTATATCCTTGCGCATTTTGTCTTTACACTATTTACTAAAACGGCAATTTATTACTTGCAAAAAAGGTAGATGGATATGTCGTAGTTATTATAAAAATTTAATCAAACTTATCTTATGTCACGATTTACATTGAACAGTGAATCTTTTAAGTTTGCGTAGGTGACGTTAAAAAAAAAGAAACTAAAAATAAAATGACAGTGAATAATTCTTTTATTCAAATGCGTTTACATTAACAATAAAAACAAACAAAAACAAAAGAACAAGAATATAAATTAAAAATTCAAATTTTACAAATTTATTACAAAAACATCTTGAGTGGTTTCAACAAACACAAAAAACAAAATAAATTTATTTTTCTCGACAGGTTTTACAATATACATACATGAGATACATAAAATAATTATGTACAAATGTACATATAAGTATGTATATGGGCTCAGATCAATGGACCTTTTGTATTAACGGTTTATTAAATAGTTAACATCTAGAGACTACAGAATTCTTGTCTTTAAAAATCGTTATACTCTTATATAATAAATTATTTATAAATAAATACAATCTTATTTACTCAATTTGTACATGTGTTTTACTTTAAGATCCCTTTAGTATCTCTTATTTCTATAGATAATTAAATATATTACGCTTTCTCTATTTTACTGGAACGAGTTTTCTAGATAAATAAAATCAATATTCAGAAGCTTATAGGGGGCAGTCGAAATCAATGGGAATGAATAGGGATGCATTTTTCTATTCGATAATCAATAAAAACAAAAGAAAACAAAAGAAAAAGAAGAAGCAATTTTAAAATATTACACTGTACAAACATTCACACTTTTCACCAATAAATAAAGAATTCCATTCGCACGAGAACACTCTAGTAAAAAAATATATATTACGAAATTACATCAACTTAATATTAATAATTTATATACATATTTGGTCATAAATAAAACGAGCAGCAATTGTTTAATTGATTGGATAGTTTTCATATATATTAATATAATTTGGTTCATTGTTATAGTGGACTCGACTGTTTGTAATTGATCAAATGACTCGTTGTTCATTATACTTCAATGCATAAAAACAATAATAAAAAAATAAATATAATTATATCTGACGGTCTATAAAGACCACGCAATTTGCTGTATTAATCTAAAAAAACAGATAAATAACAATTTTACATAAAATATAAATTAAACCCCTGAGGACCCTTGTGATCATTTTGAATCTCATTTCTTCCACACTCAATGGACATAAAAAATACAAAAATCAATGACAAAAGTTGTTCTTAATTTGGTCACAAGTGAAAAATTTCTTTTTCAAACACTTATCACATATAACGCGATGTAAAGGTACAATCGTTGTTGTTTTTGAGAGATCTTGCTATATACATACAGTTGGTTAGATAAATCTCTCTTTACCTATACTTTATAGCAACGTTTTTTTTCTGCATATTTTCAAAGAGACTCATCTATTTAATTATGTTAGGATTTTAATATATATATATCTGAAAATCTAATATTTGTCAGTGTCACATGACTATTTATTCACATACTGATTTTTAATGGGGTGGTTATTTTAAACCGACAAAATACTTTGATCAAAGAACATAATTTTCCTGTATGAATAAGTCCGCTTGTATAAAGATGACAAACGTGTGATATGAAAATCAGTCTCTACCGATTCTTTTGTGTATCTGAGCGTGTTTGATGAGATGAGCCTTCTGCCTGAATGCTTTTCCGCACACTTCACACCTAAAGGGTTTTTCTCCCGTGTGAGTTCTCATATGGACTTTAATATTGCTTTTATTGAGAAACCCTCGGTTGCAGATGGTGCATCGGTGAACTGGTTTTTCTTTACCTAAAGAAGGCTCAGAGTAGACGACTGTACTTGTGGCAGGAACGGATTTAGATTTGGTTTTACTTTTGCTCTTCTTGCTCGGTGTCGTTGTGTGCGGATAGCCGACCTGGAGCTCAGGAGAAGGCCGCGTCGAGCTATGGACGGGGTTATACCGTACCAGGTCAGACGTGGAGACGACGTGGCCCGGTGGAGAATGAGCCAGATAGGGGGTCGAAGAGGATGGAGAAGGACAGTCGGATGTGACCAGACCGGAGTAGAGTTCGCCTTTCGGAGGGCCGTTTTGCAGCCGGCTCTGGAGCAACGGCATGTAGGAGGAAGGGTCTCTTTTTGACTGCTGATAAAGCACGTTGGGGGGCGAGTTGACCCCAAACTGAGATGTGGTCACAAACTCTTGCAGGTTCTCGCCTGACATTTTCCCGTTCGCGGGTGAACTCTGTGAACAGGCCGTGTCGATGAGTGCGTCAATCCAAGAATCTCGAGACGCCTCGCCGTTGCTGCTGTTCTGCGGATTCGGCGCTATCGCCGATCCAATGAGGACGGCTATGTCCTCGATGTCCGGAGCGAGGAGGTTGTTGTAGTCGACGTTCACCTCCGACTTGATGTTGTCCAGCGAACAGTCCATCGTGGAGGACGAGACCACTTGGTCCGTGTAGTACATGTTCTGGTTTGCTGCTTCCGAGCTGTTGTTATTGGTCTCCACCCGAGGCGGTGAAGGAGCCGAGGCGATTGTGTGATAATGATGACCGGATATACCGTTTATGCTGAGATGGCCTGTATATCCGGTGAACGGGGGTAACGGTTTCAATTCGGCCAAGTTGTTGTTCGGTTCCGAAGGCTGGCTCGATGACATGAGGAGGTCGAACTCGTCCAAAGGGCTCTTGGAGTCATCGTCGTCGTCGTCGGGGACCGAGTTGCCCCCTCCTCCACCGCTCGAGAGCATCAGTTTCTGAGATCCGCCCTCTATCAGAAGCTGGTGGTGATTGTGGTGATGGTGATGATCTCCGTTGCTCCAGTTTGTCATTAGGCTATCAACCGGGAGGCCGAGGACGTCCGAGTCGCCCGGAAATTTCATTTTCCAGTGAGTCGGCCAGGACTCGTCGTTCTCGTCTCCAGGACGGCCCTCAGGAAGGCGCCATCTCGCTCCCCACCCTCGGACCTAAAACAAGAAACTATTAATAAATTATCTGTCTTCATGGACAATTTTATTTTATATTCCCTTTAAATCTGGCATTAGATTTAATTCAAACATTATAAAAAGAACTTCAATAAATACTATATTTTAAAATCGTCCTTAAAATTAAACTCAATCACTTAAAATCTCATTATTTAGAGTTTCATCCTATTTATAACGTTTATGTATTTATTTATTTTAATATTTTTTTCTTTCTTTTTACTTCTAGTACAAGATTAATGATCCAAAAAATTTGAAATTTCGAAACTTCTTCGCCAAAAATATCCAATAGCAAAAATATTCAATATTTTCACAAGTTATTTTCACGGTTACGGTATAACAAACGTCTAATTTATGACTTGATAAATAAATGAAGGATGGCGAGTAAGATATGGGAGAAAGGAAGGCGCTCGTAAGAAAAACCAGCAAAACAGATCTGTATTTTGTTGTGCATCTTCGACTCCGTTCAACCGAATCGAGATCACCTCCCTATGCTATTTACAAACATCGCATAAAACAGATCGAATTTATTTGTTATTATTATTAGCACAATTGGTAATTATTAGCACTATATTTTAATACGCAGCGCGTACAGTCAAGTCGAAATTAAGACATTTTTAATCATTTTTCTTATTGTGGTTATTACCGATTTTCAAGGTTTCACTTCGCGCAGATCCTAGTTTTATCAGCGGTTGATGTACAAGCTAGGTTCATCAGAAGCAACGATTACCTCAGATGGTTTGGCTTTCGGACTTTCTCTTGAGAAAGTTCAAATTCACGATGTTTAAATTTTTCCATAAATCAACAGACTTAACGGTTAGTCATGCATCCCCAGCACGTTGGAGAAAATTAATCTGGCTCATCCCAGGACAGCTTAAAAATGAGAGATAGTTTCCAGGCGAACTGTAGGTAAAAGAATCCAAATAAGAATTATAAATTGTTGTTTCTTTTTAGTTCATTTATAATCTAAATCGTCCTTGAGTTTTGTAATATATTTTATGTAGTAAAACGATTAACTTTATGTAACATTTTCTATGTTAGTATACAAATTAATAGCCTCCTTGAAGTACATTAAAAAAAGTTTTAAAAACTTTCTGGTTTTATGATTCTTTATTTACAAACTCTAAAACTAGGTCGATCTGAAAACTATAATCTTTTGTAGGACAAGCAAAATAAAGCAAATAATGGGGCTCAATAATATTTATGAGGTTATTCTTTGGATATAACCAAATGTAGGGCTCAAAACAATAATTATCCGAGGATATATATTATTTCTATATTATATGCTTCTTTTCATGGTTTGTTAGATAGTGTGGCCCACAAACTCAGAACCCGAATTCTTGAATATTGTCCGATCCACACTCAATCATGCTTAGTCTCGTCTTCCTGCTCTAATTACCAATAGAAGCAGAAGCTCGACGAACTTTCGTCTGAATATTTTGTGCTTAAATTGTTCATTAAATTACACAGTTGCTGTTTCGTTTGATCTGAATCGGTGAGGTATGTAGCAAAAAGTACTAACTATGGCCGAGACCGCATTCGAGCTTTGATAGGGGGCGAGCTAAATGACAGGAAGTAGACAGATAACGATTTGAGGCCAGGTTATCTCTGCTCTACTCAAAGTTAACCGGTTCGAAATAAGCTCAGACGTTCATCTTTTTTTCAACTTTTTTACCAAAATATTAATTAATATTTTTCATTAGGAATCAATTTTCATTCGTAAAAAATATCGTGCGGAACTTTTACACTTCATCTGTGTTTGACTGCGGTTTGTCCAATGTTCTAGTTCTTTTAGAAAACTTCCAAACACGAGTGACGTCCCGGGAGCAGAAACATGACATTTTCCGCGCTTTCGACACTGTCCCATTCGTCAAATAAAATGGGGAGAAAGCATGAAAATCAGCCGGTGGGGGTATCTTCGCTAGAAAGCGCACCGGCTTCACCTGCATCCTCATTTTCACCGATACGCCCGTCAAAAAGGCGGCAATTTCTGGGAAACATTTCACGGAAACGGTATCACACTTGGAAATATCAGACTGAACGGGGTGGACGCTATAATCAAGACTCATTACTATTCCACGCGTGATAGCGGACTGAATTTTCAAAATTCTTTTTAAACTTTATTTCATTTTAAATAAATTTTCCCCTGTACCTTTTACTTATTATTTCTGTGTTTAAATGACAATTCAAAATTTAATCTTAGCTACATAAAAAAAATTCTTTTTTAAATATTTTATAGAATGGCTGATGATTTATCACTTGAAAGATAATCTATCAAATTAGCTGCAGGATCGTAAAAATAAACTCAACAAAATATTAAAAAAGGCTTATTTTTAATTCATAAATTTACCTATTGAAGCCTAAAGACCGTTGAGAAAATAATTATTGCTCAATTGACAGGCGATACCGAGGCCGTGCAATGCTCCCACACTGCCTCGCTAAGTTCTTCCTATCTTGTGCGATAACTCCCAGATTGATTGTTTTTTATGAGAATTTTCACCGGCACAATAACAAAAATTTTTAGTCCGAGCTGATTAAAAAATCTGGGAGAAAACATTTCCGATACGAAAGGTCTTCAATAACTTTACTCGCTGTTTCGATTTTTTTAAGGATAAAAAATAAAATTTGAATCAATCAAACTTCCAACAAAGCAATAAAGTTTAAGTTTTTAACCTGCATAAACATTCCGCCTTAGTTTTTTCTACAGTAATTCATCTTTTATAACTGTTTTTACACTAATACAATGCATACATTACCAGTAAAAAGTAAACTAACCATAACTTACTTTCTGGCTATGTTTTGAAACTGGGGCTGACGATAATAATGTTCTTACCTGCAACATAAAACCAAAAAGATGAATTAGTAATGTTTCTGCATTATTAAAAACCAAAAATACATTTTGTATTTTGATATTAACAGTTTATAACTTAGTTTTTGATTATTTAAACCTAAAACGTGTATGTACGGGTTTTTCTAGTACTGCAGGACTTTTTTAAAATCTTCATTTTTCGTTCTTTGACACCGATTTTGGTCTTCTTCGCAAAAATTACAAATTAAGAGAATAAAACTGAAGAGAAGAGGCAGGAGCCCCCAAAACCGATATCAAAATAAGGAAAAGAAAAACTGAAAAACAGACAGGACTGTGGTTCTCAAAAAAATCCCTACAAACATGTGATCAATCCCATATATAAAAAGCAACGAGATATAAAATGAAAATGTTTATAATTTGGTCTTTTTAGTCATTTTAGGCCAGCTATCATTGGTGTTTAAGTACGTCAGACTCTTTTTCGAATTGCGCTTTTTGGTGGTGGTTCTGTGATTTCGACCTGTTTATATCCCTGACGGATATGATATAACGAAATCAAACAAACACGTAATGGTCAGTTTTTTATGTGGAATACCCTGAAGATGAACTCAATAAAAATCGAAACGTTGACACGATAAAGAAAATGTTTTTCCTAAACCTACGTCACACCAGACCGCATCTCACGATCTACAAATAATCATTAAATAACGGTCACTAAACACCACACATATTTTTATGTCGAATTAAGAATATGAGAAAATGACTAAACACGTCTGAAAGGCTTGACAGCGAGGATGACGAAGATGATCCGAAACAAATGTTGGTTCATCACCAAAGAGACCCAAAAACAGTCACAGTACAAAATATAATTTGTATAAAATTCTCAATGATTGTGAAAGAAAAATTGATAGCTAGAAATAATTAATCGAAACCAGCTGGGGCATACGGGCCAGGGACATGTGCCAAACATATTAAACTTCATTTCAGCAAGATTATTTATTTTAACTTTTTTATTTTTTTAAGTTTTAAAATCAAGGGTAAATTACAATAAAAAAATAATAATATAATAATAGTAATAATGATATAAATAATATTAAATTACAAATATTTATTACAATAAATATATATTTGTTAGGTATATATTATATTTATTAATATTAAATAATAAATATAATAATGATAATATAAATATAGAATAACTAACCTTTTAAGTTTAATTTAGTAACTTAAAGTTAACTTGTAAGGCACGGTACTCTTTCTAGTAGCGCACCTGAAAGTGTTGGTTTATTACGGATTAGAAATCTCCTTGAGATGATCCACTTTGTTTCCACCTCGATCCGAGGCAAGCACAAAAGATTCCATTTAAAACTACGATACCGGTCAAGACTCACTTTCGCCTCCGATAGCTCAGCTTTTAAAGCTTTTAAGCTTGGCTTCATTTTACTTTTACTCCCGCTGGGAAGACGCCCACAACAGCCGAACGTAGAGGCAATGTTGCCAACATGGAGGAACCGTTAGCCCATGTCCCAGATACCCAGTTCCAACTCATTCAGCTGTCCGTTCCAGAAACAGGGCCAAAACCCCTAGCTATACGGGCTTTTATTTATCACAAGTTTGCTATTATTTGTACTGATAATGGAAATCACATTTTAAAAACTGTCACAAGATTTCCCGAGCTTTATTTTTAATTATGAACATTTCAATCCTGTCCGTAACTTAAGCGTCAAATATGTTCGGCAAATATAAGAAATTATTAATAGGTGACCAATTGTTCAATAAAAAGATAAACACAGTAATCTTCCTAACCAATAAAAAACAAGGTTGTACCTCGTGAATTAGGATTCGGAACGTGTGCGGCCCACAACTAGCGTGTTCAATCCATAACGGTTAGGAATATTTTCGCTGCTCTGTAATAATCACGTTTCGTTTATTCGAGAGCGGGCTGAAAGAAAGCTAAAAACCAATATTATACGGTATTGAGCAACTTTCACTGTATCTTCATACAATGCCATTATTATTTTTCTCTTCTTGTCCGTCACGCAGTTTTTGATAACAATTATTTCAACTGTCTTACGATTTGGTTCGGTTAATTTCGATTTATCATTTCATATAGACCTATTTGGCAATTGGAAATCCTTTCATTGTATGACTATAAATTTAATGTTTCTTATAGTAAGATAGTAAAATAGAACTTAAGTAAAGTTGGTCAAAATAGTTTTTCGTTTTATAATGTTACAAGATTATCTCTGTAATCTAGGCAATCGCTATTGAGTTTTTTTACCGGTTAAGTTTTTCATTTGCAATTGCAAGAGATTGATTTTGTAAGGTCCAAATTAATCATCCAGGTGGACAAAAATGAAGACGTAACCTCCCACTATTAAAAGTAGAAAGTTTTGGCTCTTAAGTCCCTATCAAATTCTTCGAACGGTGACAGAACTTATTCTGGAGAAAACGGGCCGATGACTTGGCCAAAGGGTTGGTAATAAAAATAACAGGCTTACACCGTTAGGGAGGAAAGAATTTTTCATTTATTACTTGTCTGTTGGATAATAAAAAGCTGATATTTTCTGTGGTTTGGTTGTTTCCGATCATTCAGAGAGAAATGAATTAAATTCAACGCTTTGTTTATAATACTCGCGTATTTTTCAATTGGCCTTTCTTACATAGGAAGTAAATTTAATTATATTTAAAGAATTACACAGAAAAAATAAGGGAGAGAGAGAGAGAAGAGAGAGAGAAGAGAGAGAGAAGAGAGAGAAGAGAGAGATAGAAGAGAGAGAGAGAGAGAGTGAGAGAGAGAGAGAGAGAGAGAGAGAAGAGGAAGAGAGAGAGAGAGAGAGAGGGCGAGGAGAGGGAAAAAGAGAAAAGAGGGAGGAGAGAGAGTGAGGGAGAGGAGAGAGAAAAAAGAGAGGGAGGAAGAGAGAGAGACAGAATACTTTATTACGAGGGTCGCCTAAGAATAGCAATGTCACAGAAATGTTTATCCTTACTTATCTGCCACTTGAATTAATAAAGATTTATCGTTAACATACAATGGAACAAATCACATAATAAAAACGTAAAAAATTGAAATAGTAGTCGCAATAAATAATTTAGAGAAAAACACTAATAATAAAAGAATTCCTTGTCTTAAGCGAACATGATCATAATATGTGAACATAAAAGTGGGGAGAAGACGAAAAAAAGCTTTCTTTTGTAGCAAAAGGATAAATAATAATATTGTTGGAATGTTGTCTCTGTTTGCATGGTGATGAGGTGCTGGTACGGGGGGGGGTAAAAGAAGTAAGGGAGGCGGATTTGCGGATTGGCAAGAGAATTTGTTGATAAGATTTGTGGCTCGAAGTAGGAAGTATCATTCAAATGAGGAGGTTTTATGACGAGGAACGAGAATAGGTCATTGGGAAACGAGCGGGTGTTAACAGAGTGAATAGAAAATTTGAATTGCAGTATCTGGAAAATATAGTGAGGTCGACTGAAGTTTATGGATTGGTAAAGGAAGCAGTATACGAAATACTTCCTACGGGATAATTACACTAATTTTGTTTGGCTGTCAGTGATTGTCAGGGTTATTAGCAGGGTAAGGAATTATACAAAGCCAAGAACGCTCGAACCACGCGTTTCATCACCTCGCAGAGCTCAAAAAGACATTTTCAAAGTGAATTTTTGAAAAACAGAAAAAAATCAAAGGGTCGAAACGTCACACGTCCAACTTCTGTCCGTGTCGGAATGACGGGGACTATGGATAATGGTAATTTTGCCACGTGCCCGTGGAAACAGAAACTCCGGAATCCGCTCTTTCCAAAATGGGTCATTTACACGGCGAAACTATTATCGGTACGAAGAAAGGTGAAAGTAATTGGAATACTTGGACCGGGTGGCTAACTGTCTAGCTGAAAACCGTTGAAAGTAAATTTACTCCCCGAAATTTAAATCCTACAGGTACTTTCACGTTTTCGGCGATTAACCCTGGGAAAATAACGGTCCTGCTCGATTAAGATCGTTCTATTATGAGCAGTACGAATAGCACAAGTGCTTTATAATTATCGGACACTTAACGAAAGAAGCTTACAATTATTTAGACAAATGTACAATTATCTCTGTCACCACACTGTCAGCTTGAACATCTAGCATTCCAAAATACCTTATGTTATTTAACAAATGTTTTAACAGAAAAATAAAAATCAAATGGCCAGGTTTTAACAGTAATTGACCCGTAACGATTGACATTTCATATTTTACGATGTCATAGAAACTTCAAAGCTGCTTTAGAAGTTGTTTGTAAGGCGATAAAGATATTTTGAAAAAAGACCATTAGAACTGGTTTCAGTTTTAGTAGTTATCTTTACTCAGAAAATACATTTACCACTGAATAGACATTTTATTACGTTTACTTTGTTCTTTTTTGAATAGTCAAAACTTGTAGAATGTATCAGAATTAAATCTTTTATGGCCGTGTCAAAATATTTGCAGGGTAGTTTTTTTGACAATCTTGGCTGTTAGAATGGCGAAGGAATGCCGTTGAGCAAGCTAGTGCCTTCAGTCAATATTGTGCAATAAATATTTTATACCAAAATCAAATGCCGAAAGGATTAGGTTACAGCTATTCATTAAAAAATAAATAAATAAATAAATAAATTTGAAACTGAATTTTCCGTTCACTTAATACTTTTAGGTTCTCGACTTTAAACCTCTTTGAGATAACGACTTATCTGTCGCACTTGGCCAAGACACAAGAATAAAGAATGAATGGTAAACGGTTTTGCTTAAAGGAACAGGTTTGTCTCGGGGAAAAGTTTTAAAAACTTGGAAAGCTTAAAAATAAGTAGTGGACTATCTATGAAAGAAATTTTTTGAAATTGTAATTCTGTATATTTATTTTTTTCTTATTTACTCGTACCCTTTCGTTATCCTGCTTTATTTATTACGGCCTTTCAGACTGAGATGTTTTTAAATAATTTATGAGCCCCCTTTATTCTTTCATCTCTCACTTTATATTCTGTTTTTCTCGTTTTAACTTTATTTTTTTC